GGTTGGGAAGGGGGAACCGATTACAAGGATCTACATGTGACCTCCTCCCTGGGGGACGGACAACAGAAAAGTGGGTGAAGGGAGACTTCGGACAGGGCAAGATATGACAAAATAATAATTTATAAATGATCTAGGGTTCATGAGGGAGGGGGGAACAGGGAGGGAGGGGAAAAATGAGCTGATGCCAGGGGCTTAGGTGGAGAGCAAATGTTTTGAGGATGATGAGGGCAATAAATGTACAAATGTGCTTTACACAATTGATGTATGTATGGATTGTGATGAGTTCTATGAGCCCTAATAAAATGATTAAAAATATTCATTAAGATAAAATCTATTTCTGCCTTTCTGAGATTTATACTTATAACCAATTAAATACCCAAGTATATTTATTTAACTTATAACAATGTATCTCATATATTCAGCCTGCACTTGAGAATATTTATGCTATATAATATCCTAAAGTGTAATTTTCTATTATCTGTTATTTTTTAAAAACAGTGCCATAGACCTGAGTCAATGTTGTCATGTCCTTGAATCTGTTCTTGAGTATTTCTACTCCCCATTTCACATCCTGTTCCTCTAAATTCCCAATAGTTTTCCTCAACCTATTTGGTTTACCTTTTATCTTGTGCTTGTTTATTTTATTTATTAATTTTTTGTGTGAATTGGATTCACAAAGACAGTGTTCTACCACCTACTTTGGTGAGTAATGACAAGGATTATAACAGTGCACCAGTAGCCATCTAACGTTAACCCGAGTTAACCTTAATTGATCTCTCTAACTTCCTCTTCTGGAAATGAAGTGGGACTAGATTTGGAAAATTTCATTGGAGTCAGGGTAGGACTCTAAAAACACCCAATTCTGAGCTATGTGCATTTGAAAATAAGATAGCCACTTGTCTTAACAGATGTTTATCAATCTTTTTTATAGCGCTCAGTAGTACACCACATTGTTCTAAGTAAGTACATCACAGGGAGGAGGTAATATTGCAATTAATCCTCTAGATTAGAAAAATCATGAACAAGGGTGGAGCTGGAATTCAAATCCAGAGTTCCTCAAACCCAGAATCTGAAGTACTGTGTTCTGTTGATACCGGGTTTGTCTTGGGCTTTTTTTTTTTTTTTTTGGTAGACTTCATAGTGGAGCCTTTAATCTTTGTACTATGTATAAAGAATCAGCATTTTTGCAGATTTGGCTTGTTCAAATATTAAGAACTGCAGTTGATTTTCTGAACTTCATATTTAAATATCTTACAAAACACATTTTATTCTTCACAATACTACCCAACCAACTCACTGCCATCGAGTCAATTCTGCCTCAAGTGAACCTGTAGGAGAGGCTAGCGCTGCCCTTGTGGGTTTCTGAGACTGTAACCTTTAGAAGAGTACATGTTCCTCAGGAGAAAGTTGTTTCTCCAGAGAAGCAGCTGGTGGTTTCGAACTGCTAACCTTGCAGTGAGCAGCCCAATGGGTAATGACTGCACTGCCAGGGCTCACAATATTAGTGTGGGGTGGTGGGGTGGCAGGGGAAGGAACAAAGGAATGCAACTGAAAAGAATGAAGGTACCTGAGGCCTTGGCTGCAATTAGAGCATGCCCATGTTTGATCTCCTTAAATGTCTGATTGTGAATTTTGCGTAAGTGCAATACAAGCTGCTGTGCTAACCAAACCCACTGCCATTGTATCCATTCTGATTCATAGCAAGCCTGTAGGTCAGAGTAGAACAGCCCCTGTAGGTTTGCCACTGTAACAGAAGTAGAAATTCTTGACTTTCTTCTGCAAGGAGGCTGGTAGGTTTGAACTGCTGACCTTGCAGTTAGAACTAGGTCACAAAGATGGGGCTTTCTACTCCCATAAACAACTACAGTCTTGGAGACCCACAGAGGTAGTTCTTCCTTGTCCTATCAGATCACTATGACTGGATGGCAGTGAGGTTTGTGGTGCTAAGCAAAAAGAAATAATTTTAATAGATTTTAAAAATTATAATGAAATAAAGTTGAACTCCTAGAGCTTTAAACTTGCAAATGAGGCTTTCCCTGGGGCTTCCTGTCTGATTGTATTTGCTATGCCTGACCTACTTTATTAGCTTTTTCACAAGGTGCCTTAAAGCCTTCCAGAGAACAGCGTACATTGAGCACCCAACAGTGATAGCTTTCTGTAACCCATGACTCATTTATATCATATGCAGGAGCCATGAATCCTGTAAGGTAACCTTGCTCATGCTTTTCACCTATGCATGAGTGACAATGGTAATTCTCAATACTCAGACAAAGGATTCTAAATAATGAATTTTCACCTATGTATGAGTGACAATGGTAATTCTCAATACTCGGACAAAGGATTCTAAATAATGAATCGACAAGAGGATTTGTCTGATAGAGTTTGTTAGTCATAAATGAGCAAGTTAATAGAAAAGAGCCCTACCCCTCTATCTCAGAAGTTTTGGCTTTTTATGTAACCTGAAAGTCTTGTGTTTGAATGTCTTCTGATGTAATCAGTATGTTCCTTCTAGAAGTGAGTTAGTGATAAGGATGAAAAGAAATGGTATTGGTCTTTGAGGGACATCTTTCATATCTTTTAACAGAAATGGATCAAGAGGTATAGCTATCAGTATCTCAGTTATACATGTCCCCGGTCAACTGGCAAAATACCAGAAATAAATACTGTGTTTTCCTGTGACCCCCCTCCCCCAAGAAGTGTCAATTCCAGCAGTTGTAACAGAGTGAATTACTCTCATCTGGTTGTGGAGGCTATGGAGTTTGTACTAAAGTTTAAGTGACTGAGCACTGAGTTTGCAGAAAGTTATGCTTTACAGTTGAAGCCCAAAATCCATTTCCCAGCCTCCACATCAATTCAGCCTCCATTGAATTCCTTCTGACCATTGATAGGCAGGGGTGCATTGCTGTCTCTCCTCTAGCTGATCAAGAAGTGCCATAACCTTCGGAGACAGAGCCTGGGTGTCCCCTGAATGGAAGTTGGGGTGCTAGAGTCTCACAGTCACGAGTCACCTCCTGTGCCTTGGTTGGAGGGCCCTGAACCAACCTTACACGTTTTTCTTTCTAACATAATGTTTGTGTCCCAATCATGGTCCCACTCCCGCTTCTGTAGTCCCAACCCAGTTTATCATTCATGCTTTTGGGAAAAATTCCTGTGTTCTCCTGTCTTTTATAAACTCCCAAATCTCTGCAAGCCCTTGAATCCCATTGCAGTCTTGTTTGTGCTAATGATCTCTCCTCTGGATGATGTGTCTTTGTCTTGTCATTTCCTCTTCACAATTTAAAAATGTTTTTGTAAGTTATATTTGAGAGTTAGGGTCTCTGTTGTAGCCTAAAACTAGCTCGATCCACAGTAAATACAGGACACTCAAACCATCCCAAAGATCAAACAAAAGTGGCTTTTACACAGGAAGAATTTTGAAGTCAACCCTCTGTGATTGATGCAAATGAGGAAAGAGCGAAGAAAGTAAAAAGTTTAAAAAAACGGGAAAATTACTGTGATTCTTATAATTTTCAGTTTGCTGTTTAAAATAACAATGTATAATTTGCATATCGTTATGCAACTCAATGTGTTTTGAGAATAAATAAAACAAACAAACAAACAAGGAAAGTGAAAAGTTATGATCAAAACAGCTGTTTTACTGCCCCAGTGTTCTTATTCCTTGCAGTTCCCTAAATCCCATCTTTAGCCTTTCTGTTTTCCACTTTCCTTTTGTACTTCCTACTTTCCGTATTTCATCGATTTTCCTCTCTTTGGCTCTCTCTCTCTCCCTCCCTTGGCCACACTTCCTTTGCTTTACTTCACTTTTAACTCTTCAGTTACTACTTAAAATTCACTGTTAGCTCTACAACTGGGATTCCTAGACATATAGATATAAACTAGAAGCCTGTGATTTGTTAAGATTTCCATTTTCACTGTGCCTTTAAAAACACTTTTATCTTCTGTGATATAATTCTATACATATCTTCTATGTCTAGTTCTACTCTAAGTTTTTCTCCCAGACTCCAACCTTGTGAGAATTTGGTGAGGCAAGAAAAGGGAGGGGAGGATTTGGAGAATATTCTATTTTACCTCCTTTTTCCTTCTTACACTTACAGTAAGCAATTAAAAGTCACCTCAGGTGTGGATGGCAACATTGCAAGATTGCCTTTTTACTGTAGACCTAAGTTAAGTCGATCCCTGGAACCATTCCTTAATGCTCTCTTTCTTATTACCCCTTTCCAATGGGATCTGGTTTTCCAGGTAATAGCTATCAAAATCTAATTAAATAGCTTATATTTTCTTTTCTTTTGATATCATTCGATTTGTTGAAGGCATTTTATTGCCTCGCATGCTAGCTAAACTGGGAATAAGCATCTCCTGCCATTTGAAGTTCCTTTTAATTAGGAAGCATGTATGTGGGTCCTCTGAACATGCCTGACGGAATACTTGCTCAATACAGCTGAAAGTAACAGCATGTTCCCCGTGACCATTCCCTCCGCCCATTTCACCCCAGACCTCTCTCTGCGTGTATGTGTGTGACGGCTTGTTTAAAGAGACAGCTTCCACATCTTACCCTGGCTTTCTCAAGTATATCTGAACTTGTGATTCACTGCTGTATACTTAGTTTTTCTAGCAAAAGTAGCTGAAGATATAAGATTCACTTAATAAACAAAAATCTCAACAATGTCAATGATAGCTTTTTGTCCGCATTCCCCTCTAAATGTCTGGGTACAATGAGTGGGAAGGGAGCTCAGCTGTGGTGGTCCCTCCCAGAAAGGCAGAGAGGCACCGTACCAACAGGTTGAATTAATTAAAGAAACACGTAGGCACTCAAAGTAACTCATGACCAGCCTCTTGTGATTTTACAACATCACAATATGTCTTCATTTCATCGAGGACATAGGAAGGCGTGAGAGTCGGCACTGATTTCACTGCCCCTCCCATCTACAGCACCTTACGGTAAATGACCTTGGCACAATGGTTGTGGTTTCTGATGAATCTCTTTGTTCTTTGGCTTTCAGCTTGGGGACCTGCTTCACAAGTTACAGTTCGTCATGACCTATGTGGCTCCTTGGCAGATGGCGTGGGGTTCTTCATTTCATGTGTTTGCTCAGCTCTTCGCAATTCCTCATATCCTTTCTGCGTCTAGTTCCGCTGTGAGCTGAGATTTGAATTTTATGCATACAAGCTTTTTAGTGAACCTTGGTAATAAAAGATTTGAAAGTTTTTAAGACTATATTTTAATGGGGCGGAGAGACACTTTGAATTCCCTTCAGGCCACTTATACTTAAAAGATGATTCTTAATTTTGAACTCTTCCTGCTTCTTAGTGCATATGCAAGACTTACTTCTATTTATTTATTTATTTGTTGTTTATAATCTTTCCATTTCCTATGCCCAGCTATGCTCTAAGATATCCTGTCTATTGAATGGAAAGCTCTTGACCAAACCACTCTGTTGACTTGTACAAAATAATGCAAATCAATTTGCAGCTCTTAAAAATTGAAGATAGGGTAGATGTATTCAATATAACATTAGAGACTATATATTACGATGTAATGTACTTAGCATATACCTGAGTCGTATTCAAAACCGAGAATTAGGTATAAACAAAATTGTCCAACTATTTTTGAAGGTCAAAAAATATAAATTATGAGTTTTTCTTAGTTTCATATATATGTGTGTATAGATTACATATTTACACATGTATATATACCTATATAATGAGAGAGACTATGAGACTAATAAAAATATTTTGGACTTAAGCCTGTAAAATTTTTTTATTCTCAGTGAATTTATACTTTCTAAATGTTCACAGACTACTTTC